GAATGTATACACATGTATACATATATATATATATATGTTCACATGATTTCACATGTACACTCCTCACCATTTAAGTTACCCATCCAACCATTCACCAGCAACATTTCACACCCTTAGGATCAGTGTCCTGAAATGGGGTCTTGGTCCAGGTATGGTACATGGAAGTGGGATGATTCACAATCTTCACAGCGCTTTCATACCCAAAACATCCAAAACATGCAAAAATCGTATGTTTCTTGATACCCCAAACATCCAAAATCTGTATCTTTCTTGGGTCTCAATCTTGAACCCCGCGTGCCTGTTCACCGAAACCAGGTGGAAACGGTTCTCTGTGGCACCTCAGTGCCGGAAAACCGATGATTTCTACAAAGAAATGATACACACATGGTGGGGTTTCCATATCTGCGGTACGTGGCTGAAGGGTATATAAAAGGGTACTGTTTATGGGTTCTAAATATCTGTGGGTTTGTCCGAAATTGGACACTCGAAATCAACAGGGAATGGAAAGATCAATCGAACCTAATGGGACAATAAGCCGGCAAAACTATGTACACTATTTCACCAACCCCAAACAGGGTGATTTAGGCAACTAGAATTCTAGATAATTGAGTTTGTCTGGAAATAAGATATCAATCGTATAACAGAATATAACCACATATAATCATCAATCAACCCAAATCTTGAATTCTGTTCCAGTTGACCTACCAAACCAAGGCTGACTTTTTGCCAGCTTGTTTTGCCTCACAATCCATAGAAGCTGCTTAACATCCCATGTTTGCGGCTAAAAATCAATAAAACTTTTTTTTTTAAAGTAAAGTATACTAAACTCCAATTTCTTGCAGCTAACTCTGCAATTTTTTCGCTCCTCCCATCCCCAGCACGACGTTCCAAGCGACGTTCCGTGGCAGCCATCTCGCCAGCTTCTAAGATGTCCCAGTCGGCTGGATGCAGCACCACCTTTCGTGGGGATTCATGGTGTGGAAACAGGACTCCCATAAACCCAAGTCAGGAACATGTAGGAACTGCCTGGTGTCAAAAAATGTGGAGATTTGGGATTCATCTGTATGAATGGGATATGAATGAGGTAGTATTGATGAGGTCGATACTGTCTGCAGAATTGGCCATACTTGGAGGTACAAAATCGGATGTTGGATCATTCCAGCTACCTAGAAGCTGAAGTCTTTGAAATGGAGGTCGCAACTATTGAAGATCATCATGCTGTTGACGTCTATTGACTATTGACACATACAAATCTTGCAAGCATTGCTACAGTGCTGGGTTTAGGACACCAGACTTCAAATCACCCAGTGGCAACTGGAGGGCCCATACCTGGAGAGTCCCAATGGATCATCATTCATTCACCGCCATTTTTGGATAATGGACCAATGGACCCATCCAAAAAGAATCTATGGATTTTCCTCTGGATATCTCTGGTTGTTCCTCTGCTGAGTTTTTTTCCAGTGGAATACAATGGAACCACTGGCCCAAATCGTCAACGGCCTCAGCCGGCCTCAGCCCCTGCCAGTGCCAAACAGCGCGACACTTCTGGACTCCAAACCTATGGAATGCTGCGGCGTCCAGTGCTACATCTATGATCATCTATGGATGTCCTATACGAAAAACACCATGTCACACCACTAAGCAAAGGGGGAAACCTGATCCGTAAAAAAGAAACACCGGAGATTGATGTTCAAATTCCCTATGTCATGAAATTTCATGATATTTCATGGGGCATCTACCAGTTTTTGAGCCCCCTATTGCCATGGTGCTTTTGGACCATGATGAGAATGACCAGAATTAAACCCTGGAGTCTTGGAGGGATGGGCGCAGACAAGGGGTTGTGAGTATGGTTTATCGGGTTCTCTCAAAGTGGCCATTTTATGATCATCATCAAGTGTACTGAACTGTATTTGCAATGCCCTGAAACATGCCGGTGGAGAAAGCAGAACATAACTTAGAAACCCGTTGACATGAGAAATTCAATTTTTGTTCAGAGTGGTCGATCTGCAACCTCGTCGAGCTCTGCAAGAAGACCTCATATGGTTACATATGGTTTGATGTTTGGATTCCGGTGTCTCAAAAGGATCTACCCCATGCTGTAACCATTAAGACATGGGGAACATGTCGAAAAAACGCAAAAACCTGCTGCTGCTCAGGTCTGGTCATCGGGTCCTGATCCCTAACTGGGATGCTTCAGGATCCCCCAAAAATGTTTGCTTCCCAAAATGGGTTGTGTTTTTTTGGAATATTTACAGGATTTTACAGGAAACCTCAACAAAAACCCACAAATATTTGGTTCAATTCTTTCAAAGCCGCGGTTTCCTAGACATCCCTGCGCCTCATCCGAGATCATCATGGCAACGCGGCCCAAAGCCTCAAAGTATGGGACTCGTTGCATTTCATGGTTGATGCAATTGATGCAACACAAAGTCGGGGATGTATTCTCAATGATCATGAAATACTAAGAACCGATAATGTTCATGGATTCCCCATGGGAATGTCAATGTATATCATTAATGTATATCCGCAACGACGATTCTCGATTTCAGAGATTTCAGATCATGGGTCACGGCGATATCATTTTGAAATTCACACAAGAAACATGATGAAACTTGTCATAAAATGTGCGGAGATCGTAGGGATAGTGAACAAATGTGAACAACAAATCATAGGATTAGTTCCAGTAGTGTCATATGGTTAAATGCAATAACATCATCTTCCAGCTTGCCAATATTTCGGTGTGTGATCTCAATTTTCACTGCCAATTCCTTCCTTGGGGCTACTTGTCTTTGATGCTCCACCATCTGTTCCTGCGAGAGGCATCAGCATTGCCTGAACCGAGAGACCGGATCCGAAATCACTTCACAACGATGATTGCCGGGTGTTGCCCAAGTGGCCTCAACACAAGGTGCCCGCGAGAGGCATCAATCTGTGCTAGGCTAAAATATTCAGCATTCCTAAAGTGGAATAAAACATGATTCCTCCTGGTGAGGAGGTTGCGATCAATGCCTCAGCCTGAGTCATGGATGTCTTTTTGTGGTCACCCATCCACCCGACCTCGTCACCTCCCAGATGCGTCTTTCGGTACGTGCCGAGCACCGTGCCTGCCTTAGCAAGCCAAACGTGGTTCAGAAAACCTGTGCTGGTGAGATCAAGGAACCCTGAAGTAGTTTGATGAAATGGTCATGATATATATATATAATATATTAATGAGTAACACTCCTTCCCCAACCGTGTTGCTTTGATTTAACCGGCCACGCAGTAGCTTGGGCTGCTTGGCGCCACCACAACATGTAGTCTCTTCAACAATTAAATACCGTTCCGAAACTTAAGTTGGGACCTCCATTATGGCCAGTTCTAAGAGGAACATCCTATTCCAAAGCCATCTTGGGTGCCATTCTTCGGGCAGGTAGCCGTATGTAGCTGTAGAAGTTCCCTCTTTTTTGATGATCTTTTTCTCCAGAAATTCCGCAGGACACCGAGGAACAGATCCGATCAAGTAAGCGCTGTGGAAGAAGTTTCCATTCTCTTCCTGCGATCGGATTCCTCTGTAATGGCGAAACCAAGACGCAGGGCATCCCCGCAAAAACGTGAACATCTCATGTTTTTTTGGACCATCAGCTTTGTGGCTATCTCTAGCGACTTTCGTGGCCTCGGAAGGATTCCTCTGGACAACAATCATCAACAATCATGGCATTCAATTGTCAATTTGACGAAAAATCCGGAACTCTATTTGTAGCCATAAAATTCCAGTATCTTCAAGGAAACACTTTTGGGCATCTCTAGAATCAGGAACCATACTGGACCTTGAGGTCGTTGTTCCATACGTCCACATGTGTGACGAGGAACCACCCTTCCGAATGCCGTCATTGTCCTTATGGAATCAAGATGGATGATTTGAGCCCACTCGGCTATTCAAACCATGGGGAATCACCCTCCAAATACATTGGACATCAAGATCGGTGTCAAACCACCTGCCAATTTTTGAGTCTTCCGCTGGGCATCTCTATGAAACCTTGATCACTGCATGGAGCAATCTGATCCAATGATGATTGTTAGTACTTTGCGACCGCGAGAATACCGCGAGTATCCATCCCTTCAAATCACAACTCACGTCAGGCGAATCTATTGGAATCTCGTTTTTTCGGTAGCAAAGATCAAAAGCCAATATTCCCCAATCGATGTATATATATATATATATATATATAATATTTTTTTTTTGCTAGTATACTGATAACACTGATATCTGATGATGATGTCTCAAATGAAACCCACAAACATGAGTCTCTAACACATTCTTCCTGCTGGAAACAGCCCGACACACACACACACCAAAAGAAAACTCCACTTTATGGAAGATTTCAGGAGAGCAAACCGCCTTATTGTTCATGGCTTACCTTCCATTCCCCGCAAATGAACATGTCACATTGTTGTGGGAGAAGACATCATTTTCCAGAAAGCTAGTTATCAAAACAGCATAACCACGGTAACCCAGCTGTTAGCTACATTTGCGTGTAACGCTTATTTTGGACACTAACCCATTGGTTGAACACCAGATTTGTTCATCTCGGTGAGACCTCCACGAGGCTGCAGCAGAGAAACATAGCTGACTCCTGCAATGAAAGCAAATGACACTTGGATAACATTGGTATCTTAAATATCGGAATATCATGAAACTATGATGGGAATGTATTGCACATATTGGTAGGTTTTATTTTTTTACATTTTTTTTTATATATACTTTTCTTTGTGATTCATTGATAGGCACTTCGACACGAGTTATTCTCTTTTGGTGCTGCGAGCGTATATACAATTTAAGTTTTAAGCTGGCTGCAGTTGCAGAAATCTACGCCCCTCTCAACTCGTGCTGTTCGTTGTTTTTGATGGCTGTTCCAAAACATCTCACCAGCATTTCGACATCCCCATGAGGCTGGATTCGTTGGTAAGGTATCCAAAGGTGATATCCATCAATTAATTAAAGCTCTTTAAGGGCTAATGAACTACCAACAACCACTAATAAGGGCTTAATGACGTGCTATCATTTGGGGTTCACCTTTATGGGGTTGGTTGAACCTCCATTATACTAGATCTCATGAGAATGACTCAAAACTATGAATATCTAGGAATCTTTGGGCAATCGTTCCTGCTTTTGAAAGTCGTACTAGTTTTGCACTTAATTGCTCATGACATCCCATGCCAAAAAATAAAAAGCACAATGTGCAATTCGGGCGCAATTTAAAAACATGGTAGAAATGCAGGCCTGCAAATCAAATTATACAAACATAATTTTATGGTTCGAAAACTTTTTTTGCAACCATAGTAAATTTCTGAAACACATACTATTTAATATCATTTTTTTGTCGACATTTAGATGTCTAGGTAAATACGTGTATATATGTATATACAGTATATATATATATACATATAACTGCTATTATACACACCCATACATGGAATATTATATTGTATGATACGGTAGATGTCTATATCAATATAATTATGCTGTATATATATATATATACAATTATATACATGTATTAATTACATAACTATGTGTATCTGTGTATATACGTCTGTATATCTAGATATGCGTACGGGTGTCTGTGTGTATGCTGCATATGTTCTTTATCTATCTTTATCTGCACACACGTGGATAATCTATTGATCTCGCAGACCTGACTCAAGGCGAGAACATTGATGGTTTCCTCCTTCATCATCATCATCATCATCATCATCATCATCATCATCATCACAATCATCATCATCATCAATAACTGGTCAATACGACTAGGAGATCCCTCTATTCATCTAAACAACATATAATATTGGGAGACCCCAATTAATTCTAACGATTTTCCGGCCTGGCGTCATACTGAGCTAACGTCACAGTCACTTTCCATCATCACGTCATGTTGGGGGATGAAAAATAGAGCAGAATTGCACCAACCTCGTTGTTGGAGAAGTTATTTTTAGAGTTTGTGGGGCTGTTTTATTGTTGGAAACCCAGTGGCGGTGTTTCCCTGTTTCCAGATGATCCTTGGCCCAAGCTTTCAACTTCTCCAACACCTCCAGCTACGTCGCTGGGACGCGAACTAAGGGGGTCCATTCCCTAATTGATCTTGAATGAAACATGAACGTTTGGAAGCAATGATTTTGAGCTATACCCTCACTGAAATCTATCTTGAACCCTGCAAAGTGGGGAGAAGATCAAAATGACTTCATTGATGGGTCATGGGGTGAAGCTGCTCAAGCTTAGGTGCAGTTTGAGAGGATCCCAGTGCAAATCCAGCTCTATGGATTTCAAAACAGCAACGTAGAGCTGAATATACGATAGGGTTGCTGGGGCGAAGACCTTTCCACTGGCAACATCGCATCTTGCCACCCAGTTGGGTGTTCCTTCCACCGCTCACCTCGCAGGAGTAGTTGGCTGCCTGCTGGGGGTTTTGGGACACTTCACCACAGCGGAAGCACCAAAGGCTCGGCCTGGGGCGAGTTTGGCAGCCGGCCAGGGTCTGACCATGGTGTATACCGTTTATCCCGAGTCAGGGTACTGGAAAATGATGGAAAATAGGGAAAATGATTATAAACCAATGGATCCAGAGGTACCATATCCGTACCGTATTTTCAGACAAACCCATATGGACTTGGACTTGGGGTGACTGTTGCTATCGGGGGGATTGGATGCAAGCAACTCCATTGTATGCTCCAAATCTGCAACTTTGGAGTCACAAGTGAGAGAACCCCATAACTCACGGTGACCTAATGATTCGAAAGATTTCGAAACTTACGTCTGTGAGTAGGTCCCAACCCACCAATCCCAGCATGCATGGTTTGATGCTTCAATATCGTGGCTTCGCAAAAAGGAACCACTACGATTGTTGCGGCGGATTTCTCACATGTTGGATACAGTCAAGTGGGATCAACACAGACCCACGGCCCACAAAAAATTGAGACTCAGACAAAACACCCAAAACAGCTCCCCTGCGAGCTGCATATGAGACCTGCCAGTTGCGATCCAACAGTCCCACGGCAAAATGGCCCATGGCCAAGTGAGTTGTCTTGTCTGGGAAGTTCATACAGATTGCTCGATTTGAAATAGTTTGAAAGTTACTTGGGTGACTTCCGCTTACGAACGATTGTTTTACTGCTGCTTTTCAGAGCTTGCTCAGCACAATGGCTTTACTCCTTGATACCCCGAAGAGTGTTTCACAGGCTTAAAAGCTGCACAGTCTCGCCTGTCGCTGCATCATCCATTCGCTGCACTTCTTGGTGTGGGTAGCACTCCTAGGCACAGCAGAAGAACTGGCTCAAATGGTGAACGCCAGTAGAATGTTCAGCATGGACAGGCTATTTTGAAGATTTTTGCCTTTTCGACATTGCTCATTATATTCTTCAATGTTCAACATTTGAAGGATGAAACCTTACGATTTTGCTTGATCTTTGTGGATGATTGAAGAATTCAGACCGCCAAGAGAAATTGCGAATGAATGAACTGGATTAGGACACACACAAATGATCATTTCGACCAGCAACAAAAGTGGGAGAATCACCACAAATCGGGATTTTTACTTTGTTGGGCTATCATGGGCTATCCACGTGTCAAAACACTACGGCTGCCAGCAACCAAGGAATTTCCGTAAGTCAACAAAGTGAGTCATACTTTGGATATGTTTAAACAAGAATCCGTACAAGTTCTTGCGCCATTATAAATCAATGTAGCCAATCTTAAGTATCTTAAGTACATTTAAGGTACCCTTAGATAGACCACAAAAAGTCATGTTTCAGACACATTTCAAACGACCAGCCAGTCATGATAAATGGCCCACCACCTTTCTGTTTAGCGACAATTGCATCATTGCAACTTTCAACTTGTCGGGGCCTGCAGCGGAAACGGCGGGTTGTACCGGAGTGGCGAATCTATGATGGGACTCATATGGCTGAATCATAGTATATACTGAATATACATTAATAAATAATAACAATAGTAGATATATACATATATATATATACACATAGCCATAAGAATGACCTTAGAATACATTGGAAGCAACAACATTATTCGTTTATGTGATAGCCAACAAATAGTCAGAAGATGTCAGAAGATCCATGTCACTTGAGGTCTCACCTTGGTTTTGACCCCAGACACATGCGACATCATATGGGGCAAGTGGTGTATGGGTACTGTGTTCACACAAACAGAACTGGTATAGATGTCCAATAGGTGGCATGACACATCCACAACTATCTCGACATGGCTAAGCATCAACATAGCTCATCAATGGATGTTTAACACTCAAAAACCGACCCATCTCATCTCCATCTTTGGCTTTGTTGACTTGATGCTGTCATATTTTTGTTGGGCAGAACCAAGATATCGATGTGAAGATGAAATCATCAAAACCACCAGTCACCTTGCAACATGACTGAGTGATGTGGTTTATCAACATCTCCTGAATGACTCCGATCTAAGTAGGCTTGGGGTGGAAACCGGCATCTCAGGCCTCAGATAAATGGGCCATCCCGGCCATCCCCCAAAATTCATGCTGCTATACATCCATTGCTTCTTACTAAAGGCCGTGGTTTTGGGGTGTGCCAAACTTGAACCATCCCTCCACCGCCTTGACCCTTGTTGCTTGATAATTAATCTGATGATTATACTGATGTAGGTATAACATAATAATTTGATTATGTCATTATCTATAACCGCTAGGTTCACTAGATTATACATAATTATACAGATTACTATCAAATATATATAGTGATTCCATGTGATTCCACTACCCAATGAATTGGGGATTCTCATTCAGTGCGTTGCCTGGGAAAGGCAACACCTCTGGTGCAGGGCCGTACATCTTGGCGGCCGGGACAGCCTGCCGAGGAAACGCAATGTCACAAGGCCATGGTTGAAGTATAGAGAAACACCACGAAATGCAACAATATTTTAGGTTGGTGAATATATATATATATATATTTACACAATACTGATTCAATTACATATGATAATGACACTACTCAAAACATGCATAAATAAATGAAGATAGTAACAACAATAATCTACATGTATGAAAATACATATGTGTATATACAATATACGCACTATATACACGCGTGATATATACATACATATACATACATACATACATACATACATACATACATACATACATACATACATACACAAATACATACATACATACATATACATACATATACATACATATACATACATATACATACATATACATACATATACATACATATACATACATATACATGCATATACATGCATATACATACATATACATACATATACATACATACATACATATATACATACATTACTTACATTGCATTACATTACATTACATTACATTACACTACATTACATTACATACATTACATACATACATTACATACATACATATACATACATACATACATACATACATACATACATTCATTACATACATTCATTACATACATTCATTACATACATACATATACATACATATACATACATACATACATACATGCATGCATGCATACATACATACATACATATAATTATACATATATATATATGTATATGTATATGCATATGTATGTGTATATATATGTATGTATATTGAAATCACACAATTGAATATAATTGACATTCTGGCCAATTCTGGTAATGTCCAAATCAAAAATGAATGAATTTGTTTACGTTTTCCCTTGGTTACCGTCGTCTACAGTGTGGTCAATGTGAGGTCAGCATAATTTACCCAGTTGATATGCCATACAGTGTGACATCACATCGATATGGGTAAAAACGTAGGACTCGGGGAATAGCTTGACCACTGAATTGTGTATATATATATAATTATACATTCACTCATATGTATATATATATACATATAATTATATATATGTATTTATATACCATATAATGTGGAGTACAACAAGAGACTGGCTCAATGTGTCAGCTTGCTGCGTCATGATACGTTATCCAAATGATTATCCAAGTGGGAACAAAACGGTGCCAACATAAGTCCACAAGTTGTTCCTCCATTTCCCGTGAACAAATCTGGGATTTCCCAGCCAGCTTTGAGGACCAGAAGATATCAGAAGGTATCTTGGGTCACTTCAGGAGTTTTTTTGGAATCTGAATGAATCTGACATGTTTGGCTGGAAAATCTACCTTTCTCATCCTTTCTCTACATGATTTACAATTGAACGTACGAGTGTTCCCTTGTTTACACAAACACAAATCACCACGGAGATCCACGGAGTGTTTGGGGATGTGTTTGGCACATCAACCCGCTTTAAGATATTTTGAGAGGACAGGAAACATCGCCCAGAAAAGAAGTTTCGGGCTCTTCAACATAGCAAACAAATATGCTTCGTCCTGCTTGGTAGTTGAGCCAAACCTTCAAAAAGACGTCAATTAAGAGAATTGTCGAATCGTCCCATGTCAGATGGATTTTAACAATGAAACCAACATCGAAAAACATTGCATTGCGCTTAAAGCTTAGGACGCCGCATCAATCCCCAAAAAATGGTGGATTCTGGACCACATATCAGCAAATCATATCCAAGATCAATTGTTAACGAGCAACCTAGGGACATTCACGGTGATTTGGCAGGATGATTCTCTTGCTGGCTTTAATGAGACTTTATGAATCTGCTATGTATTTTTTTTATTTTTTGGTATGAACATGGGTCACAACTGGGTACTGTACTAAAAATGGGATGCTAGAAATTCCGGGTCCAAAGATCTTAACTGCCAACAGTTCCACCACTTCTTCGTACATGGCTAACCTTTGATACCCGACAAACAGGTGATGGGTCTTTACCGGGAGTCGGATATGACAAGCAGTATTCCTTCATCAAAATCACCAACCACCCGGCAGGTGGTTGACTCAGTCACTTCGGTTACAGCTTTATTTTGACCACCATCTCGTTTTGTCAAGTGCCAAAATAGATGTTTGCTTAGTATGATATGGTTGAATAAGCCTGTTTGAAAATAATTATTGACAAACAAAAAACATCGAACATATCTTCTAATGTCAAAGATAAATTCAATGAGCCAAACATGCACCAGTCCGTTTATCCAGCAATTCAGGCTCATTCAGCCACACTTGTGTGACAACTGTGGATGAGAATCCCCATCGTTGCTCACGAAGCGACCTCCAAAGGCGCCATCATGAGGCCATACAAGTCAGGTCGACGGCACGCCCAAATGTCCTCCAGGCGCAGGTGGGAACTGATGTGCCCAGTTATCACGATCAAACACTCAAACAGGATCTAAGTATAGTAATCCTCAAGAAAGATAGAACAATCATATATAACAAAACAGATAGAACAGTTGTGTGTAATTGAATATCTATCTATCTATCTATCTATCTATCTATCGATTCTATTCTATTCTATTCTATTCTACTCTATTCAATTCAATTCAATTCTATTTTATTCTATTCTATTCTATTCTATCTCATCTATCTATCTACCTACCTATCTATGTATCTATCTAATCTAATCTAATCCAATCGAATCTAATCTAACCTAATCCAATCGAATCTAATCTAATTATCTAATTATCTATCTATCTATCTATCTATCTACCTATCTATCTATGTATCTATCTATCTATCTACCTATCTATCCTATCCTATTTTATCCTACCTTATCTAATCTAATCTAATCTAATCTAATCTATCTTATCTTATCTTATCATATCTTATCTTATCTAATCTTACCTAATCTAATCTATCTGATCTTATCATATCTTATATTATCTATCTACCCATCTATAAAAAATATATATATATATACATAATTATACAGCATACATATATAATTAATATTATATACACAAGATATACCAATATTTTAGTGGACGATTCTACTTTTCTATCTTTTCGAGGCTTGCGAATACCCACATTTTTTCGGCGTCCTGTGCCCAGCTACTACGCTTGATCTCTGCTTCCATAGGTCGGACCTGGCTGAGCTCCAAATGGCAGGAAGGTTTATAGGTTTACCATGGGTTTACCATGGGTTTACCACATCATCATATCACCATATATCATCTTCCATTTTGGGAACTGAAACAAACAACTCTCCTTGACACGAATGGACTTGGATGTGTGGGACTTGCTTGTGGCAGGGTCCCTCTGGTTGTTTTTTGACCTCTATCATGGAAGGATCATATCATCATTTTCCTTTAATCCAAAAAAACATGAGACACCTACATGAGATTCCTTAGTGCTTTTCAAAAGGTATCTACGGTCAAGAGACAGAAAAGATCATGATGGACGATAGTGGTTTATCACCTCCCCTAGCCACAAGTGGATCAAACATTGCAAAAAACACACATCCCATGCAATAAAAAGTCTTCAAATCTTGAATCTGGACAGTTCACATCAAATTTCATGAACAGCACCATGTTTTTGGCCACACTTTTGTGATCAAAACAGCCTCTGCCAGCACCATATCGTCGTGTTCTTCCGAGGCAACCACCTGGGCCGGATTCCATGGTGTTTCCCTGAGCTTCTCAAAAAGGACCTATGTTGAGGATTCATGAGGATTATGTATCAAAAGATAGATTGGGTTATATACATATATTAATTATGTGTGTATGCATATATATATATATATCATTTTTTGTGTGATTATTTGAAGGATTCTCACTAACTTATGAACAAGGTCCAGATAGTAAGGGTTTAGATAGTAGGGGTTTGGTGTTCAAAGCTTTCAGAATTGATACCCCTTTCTTGGGAAGAGCAAAGCAAGTTTTAGTAATAAATAGGCAAACTTTAAAATTAGATAGGCAAATCTTAAGTAGGACTACATTTTTTCAAGGGGCAGGCCGCAAAGCTACGGAAATTAAACCAAAGATTTGCTTATTTTGCCTGTGCTTACCCTGAACGAGGATACTGCGTTCATTGTGATGTCTTGGGGGTGATGTTTAGGGAAGGTGATATGAGTGTGGGCGCCCTTGTGTTTGTAGATTTTCAAACAAAACGGAGGAAATGACATGCTTGGTTGACCTTCCAAGATCTGATGCGCAATAAGTCAATTTAATTTCAATTGACTCAAATGTTTCAAGCTGTCATTGACAGCATGAAGTGTCAATTGCGTCAGTTGACAAAATTGAACCTGTCTGCAAATGACTCCAAAACCCAAACCCCTGCTGTGAATTCCAAAAAACTGATTGTCAATGTTGCTAAATAATTCAGACTGACTGGCAGGGCCCAGGCTGCCACCTGTTAAGATCGGCAAACATAAGCAAACAAGCCTATCAATCATACAAACACATCGCCAACAAAAAGCACACACCACACTGCGCTACGCAAAGCAATTTTAAACCAGGTGCAGTCGGTGCAGTTGAGTCTGCCGCTCCAAGAAGATCTGATTTGATCCAAAATCAAGGCAACCGCTGAGCCAAATTCAGCAGTGTAGCACAACCCATCATCACGCCATGACCTCCCATCATCAAAGGGTTCATGCCATTAATGCCAGTGACTCCCATCATCATCATAGGATGCGCGCCAGCGCCACCACCACCACCATTGCCAAACGCTTGCTGCAATGTGCGCTGCCTCTTTGCTGCTTGAAGGACAGGCATGAGCTCAACAACTGACACAATTGACGCACTTGATCAATATTGACACAAACGGCCGCTAATCTCCAAAATGACTGCGCCGCATCATAGCCACATGCAGACTGGCATCGCTGTATCTCGTGCTTGTATGGTATCAATGTGTCAGATTCATTGTGTTTGAGTTCACGTGTGTTTCGCCAATTTTTTTATTATACATATGCAAATGTTCTTGTTTTTTTTGAATATTGTAATCTATCCACGTGTCCTCACTATGTCTCAATATGTCTCAATATGTCTCAATTTGCGCTTTTGAGCAATTTTGAACAATTTTGAGCTGATCTGGGCGCAACAAAATTTGATTAATTTTGAGCAATCTTGAACAATTTCGAGCAATTTCGAGCAATTTTGAGCTGATCTGGGTGCAACAAATTGAGTTAATCAATTTATCTACTATCTAAAAACCTCTACGATCTGAACCCCTACGATCTGGACCTGGTTTGAAAATTAATGAAATTAATTTTGAGCAATTTATTGTTTCATTGCCGTCACTGGCCTGGCCTAACTTCTTCTTCACAGCCAGCAACTCAGTCTTCAATCCTCACATGAATTTTGTCGACTCTTCAGTCAGGACATCCAGCCTCTTCAGCAGCTGCTTGCTTGCGCAGGATCACGCCGCGCAGTCATCGCAGACAAGTTGCAGCGCAATGGCAACGCACAACATAATTCACAGTGGCTGCAAACCAGTCAAATTCAACAACAAAATTATCTGTCAAATCCTTGATTCATCCTGCAAGTCGCCAGTGTTTCTCTGAGAGTCCGACAAAGTCAATCAAGATAAACAAGTCTAAGAAATCAACAACTCAAGGGATAGAAGTGACATTTGAACATTTGAAACAGTCACTGGACCAAGCGTTTTAAAAAGTGCACAGCGCAAGTCTGTCACACACACACATGTCAACACCGAAGCGGAGCAAAAAACAATTGACAAAATTGACCAGAAACATTTGACCCTTGTTTTCAAATTGTTTTGACAGGGCCCACACCGCAAAGTTATTACAAAGTTCACCACCAAAACTTAATTATTGTTCGTGCGCAGCCGCTCTTGGCATCTCCAAACCCAGTCTCACAAGTTACTCTTGCACATCAGGTGCGTTTTCATTATCGCACAACTAAGTGTTTTTAATGAAAGGATCCGGTCTTAATTCGTTCTACATTGTCGTTGGTGAACGTTTAAAAAAAATATCCCAAAATAAAAACGCCAAGCAACAGAAGATGTTGCTGATCTAGTGTGTGCACAGACACGTATGGCACTCGAAACAAAATCTGCTCAAAAAAGCCATTTCGAGACAACCAGGGTCACCTTGAAAACCCCTACGATCTAGAACCCCTACGATCTAGACCTAGTTTGAATTTTAGTGAGATTCATGCTGGGGCTACCTGATCCCTTTTGGGGTCTGGGAGCCCAATTCGGCAGGATTTTTCTGACTATATCTCTATCCAAAATATTGACATAAGAACATTTAGTATCTGGACATATCCTGGGCAAATGGACATCCAAACCCAAACCTGAGATTTTTACCCATCTTGTAATGGCCCGTTTGAAGGTTTTTGTGGGTCCAATTTCTCGTGTCAATTTCGTCACAAGGCAAATCAGTGTAAGGGCAAACATGCCATCATGTCATGATGCACTGCCTGGGGACTTTTTGTCACTTATTTCCACATGTGACCATCAGATTGTGGAAAGTCTAAGGGATATGAACATATCGTGAAGTTGACAATGTGTCAAGCAGACATATTCGATACCCCTGGGCAAGTGACATTGAGCACAAGCCATGGGTTTTATTAAGGCTTAAAAAGAAGTATAACGGAGGTAAACCCAATCAGCCCAAGGCACCCTCTGACCTTTGGGATCGCAGACCTGCAGCAAATTCGGGTCGCAAAATTCACAGCAGCTGCTCTGGAGGATTATTCCCCACCTGCCAGGTGAGGGTTGTTAGATTTTATCAGAGCGCTCTTCCTCCGCCTCATCCTCCTCCTCCTACTCGACTAGCTGTCCTCTTCCTCCTCGTCCTCCTCCTCGCCTCCTCCTCCAGTTTCTCCTCGACCATGTCTGCATCAACTTCCACCTGCACTTCCGCCTTGCCAACTCTTCGCCAAGCTCTTTGCCAACTCTCTTCGCCGACTCTCTGCGCCAAGCTCTTTGCCAACTTCCCAGCTCAGTGTGCACCGCTGGACCTCAACCTGGGACCTTCCCAGCTCAGTGTGCACCGAAGGACCTCAAGCTGGGACCGTTCCAGCTCAGTGCACACCGCTGGACCTCAACCTGGGATCTGCCCAGCTCAGTGTGCACCGCTGGACCTCAACCGGGGACCTGCCCAGCTCAGTGTGCACTGCTGGACCTCAACCTGGGACCTGCCCAGCTCAGTGTGCACCGCTGGACCTCAACGGCCAGATAGAATGCCAGAAGATATGCCAGATAGAATGCCAGAAGGTATGCCAGATAGAATGCCAGAAGATATGCCAGAACCTATGCCAGAAGATATGCCAGGTAGAATGCCAGAAGATTTGCCAGATAATATGCCAGATATGCCAGATAGAATGCCAGATAGAATGCCAGGGAAGATAGAATGCCAGAATGCCAGATAAATGCCAGAATGCCAGATAGAATGCCAGAAGAGATATGCCAGAAGATATGCCAGATAGAATGCCAGAAGATATGCCAGGTAGAATGCCAGAAGATATGCCAGATAGAATGCCAGAAGGTATGCCAGATAGAATGCCAGATAAAATGTCAGATAGAATGCCAGAAGATTTGCCAGTAACAAAATGTGTAAATGTCATGGTGGGGATCACACGAAGTAAAGTAATTTTAGCATTTACAAATGAAGGTTTCCAAAAAATGGGGCTACCCCCAAATCATCCATTTTAGATTGGGATTTTCCATTATCAATAGCATCCAGCCATTGGGGCATCCCCCATTTATGAACCACTCATGAAAAATTCACCCGATTCACCCTAGGTCGCTTCACATTGTTCAACTCACTGATGATTGGGCTCTACCCATGCATTTTTCCCTGCAAAATGGGGAGTTCATTGTGAAATATGGGTAGACTTCCTGCAGGCTCATAGCCAAATCTGAATTTCTGAATCTGAACTGGTGATGTCTCAACATCGGGAACAGGCCCCAAGTCCAAAATGCTTTCCCTACTATGCCGTTGCACCGTTTTATTGACGGCGAGAACCACCGTGTACTAACCCTTTTGACCCTCAAAAAGATATGAAACCAATCAAACACATGTTTATCATTGTTTATCCAGTCATCCCATCTAATTCAGATGGTCAAATGCCAATTGTTCATGATTAAATGCAACTTCTTCGTGGTTGAATCCATTTTTTACTCATTAAATCCAAATTATTTCCTAGTTCAATCTCAATTTTTGCATGGTCAAATCCAATGCTCAATTACAGTTGCATCCCGTGTTTTCATGCTTAAATCCTACTGGAAGTGTTAAGCCTTGAATCCACTTTGTTTGTTTGCATGTTTGAATCCCATTTTCATGGTTCCAATGCTACGTGATTAAATTTCAATTTGTAGATGTCATTGCATTTTGTTTATGCGTCAGTCCATGTTTTCATGCTTCAATGTTTTTTCATCATAGTTAAGTCCCAACATTACATCGTTCATCTCATGTTCTTTCTCCTGTAAATTCCAGCTTTCGATGGCTGATTTCCGGTATCGACAATTGAATCCAATCTTTTCATGCTTAAACACATCTCTGCGTTAAATCACATTTTCTTCATGGTTAAATCATGTTAAATCCCAAGTACTTCATGTTTTTACTTCCGGTCTTTCTCATTTTCGTGTGGAGGTGTCCCATTTTCATGGGGGTACCCCCAAATCATCGCAATTTTATAGGATTATAGGATTTTCCATTATGAACATTCATAATCATCGCAATTTTCCCCCAATTTTATAGGATAAACAATCCATTTTGGGGTATCCCCATTCCTTAAATCTCCCTGCTTCGCGGGCCGCCTCTGAACCGCCCGTCCATGGCCATAGGAGGCCCATGGTGTTGGGGTTTCCAACCTCGGTAGATCCTGGGAAGCATCCCAGTTTAGGGTGTTCCGCTTTCACCCATGTGTGTATATATATATAATATACGTATACATATAATAATAAAGACACATAAAGAATTATAAAGATCATATGTCAATATACACGCACACGCACACGCACACGCACACACACACACAGGGCGGACAACGATCTTCCAGTCCAGCTGATGAGACAAAGGGAAATGCGTAGAGACGCATACAAGTTCGCGTCCCATCCGTGGCGAACTAAATGGGGCATTCAAAACCTGGGATATCCTGGGATCAGAAAACATCTTAGCCTCCAGCAATCTGAAGTGACCTTTGGAATTTCACCACTCTTTATCCCTTCTGCAGTATTCTTAAATGATCTTTCCATACTTTCGCCATCTTTTCCCGATGTTTGGGGCTTTCGCCATCTTTGATTCCCAATGGCTATCCAAAAAAAGGCATTACTTTCGAGCCGGCTTCCAGGATCTCTGGGTCCCCCGCAGTGTTGGAGGCAACATGCCATACACCATTCCTTTCTTGCAATATGTGGCTTAGAGTAACCCCAAATGCAACGTGAAAGCTATGAAACTCATGAAAAATCCGAATAATCTCGAGCTTGGATCATTTGCAAAAAACTGGGGGGTTTCAAAGAGTGCTGGAGACTGATGAGTGCTAACACCCCCTGAAACAATTGCTGGGGAGCCAAACAAGTCCTGCCAATAAAAAAGGATCATAAAATGCCATGAATCTAAGGATGTTTGATCGTCTGAAGCGCATTTCAATTCATTTTCCTTTGCTGGGCTCATGGGGGATGAGTGGGGATGAGGGAGAGGAGCTCAGAGTAATAGAATTTGTTAATATTGGATCACATATTTTTCCCTATCATTCTCTCCTTCATTCTTCCTTCCATATAGTTTCCTTGTTCTTCCCGTATTGTGCCTTTTCTTGTTCATTTCTTTTTTGCTTTCCTTTCGTTTTTCTTTCTTGCTTGCTGCTGCTTCCGTTCCTTCTTTCTTTAGTCCTTTTTCTTTGGAAAGAAGGACTTGGTGTTTTGTAAGATACAACAACCAACAAAAATCAGGATATCTTGGGATGGTCCTTGACATTTTTCAGTACCATCCCAACAATTGCACTAATCAGAATCTGGTTCATGGGAACCCCAACAGAACGGCTAGGGGGTTGGGGTTTGTCTTTGACGTGTAGTGAAGAAATTGATCCGTTTTGGAGCGGCACTGTCATCCTCCTGACGAAAGTCTGCCACCATATCGGGCTGCTGCACTAATCATGGTATATTATGTATATTGAAAAAACATATTTCAATTGAAAAAAAATCATACGTATATTATGTATATTCGTATACAAACATCACCCAATTTCATGGGCTTAATTCCTTTTGCTGGTGATATTCTTTCTATTCATAGCAGATGATAGCAGATCCCCATAGATATTTGGTCAGAACGCCATTCGCCGCTGGGCATGTCCCACTCGATTGCCCTCAGAGGAATGTGGACCTAACGCCGGACCCAGAGGATCGGCAATCAATCAAGATATGGTGATTTTACGACATGTTTACAGTAACTGTTTACAAACCTGGTTTCAAACCTTATATATATATATATATGTATATATATATATCATTATATATATATACAAACGCATATTATGATCAAATCATCATGAACCTGTAATATCCTATAATTATTGGCATCACCTTTTTTGTTCGAAGACCCAAAATGAACGGATCCAGTACAAATAAATGGAAGTGATCCGAAACAAAGCCACCTGTCTGAAAGGAGTTTGTGTAATCTGATCGTTGCAAATGATTGGGCAGATGGCACATGACATGTCTCCTAAAAGAGTTCAACATAGATCAGTTTATCATCAGTTGATCATGTGAATCTTACAGAATCAGATATACCTTCTGGTAAACTAACGTAACTATGGAAAATCACCATGCTATTAATGGCTAAATCCACTATTTCTATGGCCATTTTCAATAGCTTTTTGTATGTTTACCAGGCCGGGTATTTGCCAGGCATGGACGGCCAGGTGCAATCCAGGACTTCCCACCCTCATTTCGTCCGGCCCGCGGCTGTTGAGGGAATTCAGCAGCACCTGCATGGCTTCCGTGGAGGGGAGTCCCGGAAACTTCGCGAGGAAAATTGAAGGCTAGATGGCTAGGAAAAGGATCTACACATGAAGGATTTTCCATGGGATTTTCCAGAATTTTCCATAATTTTCCATAATTTTCCATATCTATGTTTCAAGTAACTTGACACCACCCATATCTCCATGTCTATGTTTCAAGTACCACCAATGAGAAGAGGTTTGACCCATCCCAGTGCGGCACTGGATCATCTGGAAGGCTGGAAAGCTGGGTCAGCAAGTGCCACTGGCCATCCCTAAATCCAATGGTCTATCATCATTTCCCCATTAAAATTGACATGAAATGGAGGCTAATCCACCACTTTTTCATAGACAAACCCATATTGTATTGTTGCTTATATTGTTGTATCATGTTGTATCCCATTTTAGCTTATAACATATTCCCAAAGCAAAGTGGCCGTAAAATTGAGTTGTCTAAAAGTAGGGTACCTCAAAATTTTGGTTGTCCCCACTTAACTTTTCTCAGGTTTCATTTTCCCAGAACCCCAAATCGGGTACCCTGCGGTAATCAAACGTGGCAATGGAAATGGAAAATCTCCTAACGGAAATGGGAATTTCATGGAATTTCATCTATAATCTACAAAATACATGGAGATTTTCAAGGATTTTCCATTGCGTCTGATTACCGGAGGGTATCCCAACAGCCATCACTGCCTGCGCTCCCATGAGGCTCAAGACACGAGCAGCTTCGGGGACGATTCCATCGGCACAGCACAGCCTGAATTCTGGTGGCTTGTCCTTCGATTTTGGGGTAGATCAATTTGTGAGGCATCCAAACAACTTATGGGGATCATTTATGAGGCATCCCCCAAACAACTTATGGATGAAGCCCCCGACCCAAAGGTGAAATCGCCGATTCTGAAGCACAAACCCAATTTCTTTGTATCAATGGATAGTAAGTGGCTTAAACGGTGCAGCTTTGAGGATGTTTGAGGGTGAAATCTACGACTGTTGGGGCCCAAGCGCATGAGTATGTGTATGGACAAATATAGATCAACATAAATATACATAACAGTACATGATGTTATATACTTTGTGTATATATATATATGTGTTATATGATATATGTGTAACAAAGATCAACAAAGACCATTTTTTGCATCAATTGATCTATCATTCATCCTTCTTATGCCTTATTATCATACTTCCTTCTTTTTGAATATCCCCATATCAGCAGCTGGGAATCAGACAGGCCCAGTCGACCTAGTTCAGTGTCGAAGACCTGTCGGACTGTGAGGAAAGTTGCCCTGACAAACTTGGTGTATCCAGTAAGATATCCCTTTACAATGGATAATTATATTTCACTGGAGATATTGTACTTTGGGAAATATTATGTAGGATGTAATGTGATATATAACTTATATAACCAACAATAGACCCCAATTCGTGGTAAGTTTAAGGGAGAAAAGGATCTTCTAGAGCATGGGATGCAATGGGGTATCCTTATTTCCAGAACCGCCATTTGTCAGCTACCTTCCAGTGATCCAGTGAAGTGACATGTCTACCTAGGGAATCACCATCTTCCATATTTGCATGATACGTTCTTTGCTGGATTGCTACAGGGATCTAGAGGGTAGGCGTCTATCGCCCCTGGGGGTCAACAAGTTCTGTCAACCAGTCAAGGGCCATAACACATGGCATATGGACTACCAGTCATTTTCAGTATCAAAACGTGATATACAACATCTGCTGCTCAAGCACTGGATCGATATCCCAAACAGCCAAACGACCAACCCAGCCATCATGGCTCACAACTCTGGTTTTTGCAATACCACACCAAATGGATAGAATGATAGAAGGATACTGTAGAAGCTAGTTGGTGGTTGGGCCACCCCTCTGAAAAATATGAAAGTCTTCGCGGAGCATCAGTCTGCTTTCCGGAATGGAAGTTGAAGGTATTTATAGGAAAAACACACTTGCCGAAGTGATTGGTCCGCATTTCCCATATGCTGCATGACATGGGTCACGCACCATCTTCACCCAACCAAAAATGCAACAAGTCAATCTATATATAGCAACCCCAAAAAAGATACTGTAAAGTAAATAATCACTATTTTAGTAGGGTCTTACTTCTCTATCTGAGGTTGACTGTACCCATAATTTGATGCAGGCCCGGGAGGTGATAATTCTCCATATTTTGAAGAACAGTGAAAACCAAACAAACTGCTATACATACAATTCCAAATAACGTAAATTTACCAGCATGTATACATATATATATATGATTATATGTATGTAATTTATGTGTATATATAATTATATATTTGTATAATTCTATAATATTATATATATCATATTATATATGATATATAGACAATTATAGACATATATAGACACATTACACACATCATCAAGCAAATCAAGCATGCCACAGCATTCGATGTGCCATGCCTGGTAGGGCTCTTCGCCAGGTTCAAAGAGTGTGTATTCATAGTCCCAAAGAACATGTTTTTTCACCACCTCAGATCTCAGGGGGCCTGATCCGGTGCTTGGTCTGCCATCGCTGAAACAACGGTCAGGAGCTGATGAAAATCAGAAGAAATGGATTGATGTAAGGATTCTTTACAGGAACTGTTTGGTTTTACCATGAAATGTAGTGTTGTCCGCCAATGGCTCTCTCATCCACTTCTTCAACAGAAGGATGATAGATCATTAACCAGCCAGGCTTCAACTCTGCTTTGTGATGATCTTCCTCTCAAAAAATAATTATGAGTCATCCAACCAAACAACAACATTCACCAATCTGTCACCAGCAACACCCACATATCATATGCTGATCCACCGCAAAAGTTGTGCCAAGTCAAGCCAATGTTTGCCGGGTAGGCTACACATGTTTGATCATTTATATACGTACAGTACCCACCCCCCAAAAAAAAAATAATCAAAAAGTTAGAGAAAAGTAACACATCTCACTTATCACTTCTCAATTTATCATCAAGTTTCCAGGGAATTTACCAACTTCAGTCTTTTTAAGGACCTTACCTAAGTCGTCCTGAGCTGGGCACACCTTCGATGTCTCCATCTGGGCGGATGAGGACGATGCCAATGTGGACCTCGAAGCATTTGGGCATTTGGGCATTTGAAATTTTGAAATATTCCAATCCCCCAATGGTGCTGAATATTCCAATGGTTTTTTGTTGATCCCCCAATGGTTGATGCTGAATATTTATGAATATTCCAATATTGTTGAGATTTCAGCAACCGGGATTTGAACTATTTTGAAATGATTTGATGTTTAAAAAAGGATTGGACTCAGGAAAATGAGGTAAGTTGCAGCACCAGGATCATCACAGGGCTTCAGGGGGCCTGAACCCTGTTTTGACCGAAAATTATCCACGATTGGAGGATAGTGCTACAAGGTAAACAGATTACTTACATGCGGCCAAGATTGGTCAAGATGATTGGAGCAAAAGCAACATGTCAAGACAATCCTGGTCCAATGTTAGTTGATTTGCCCAACATGAATTTCCCAGCCCACTGTTTTTACGTGTCTTTGGTGGAAATGGACATGTTGAACTCAAGATCTCCAATCAGGAATCCAACCTAGCAATGGCAATTTGTTACATGTTGCATTTCAATGTTCATCCGCTTTGTAATTAATCAGTTCTCGCATACACAAATGGAATTTCTCAGCATACTGACTGATAACCGCTTTCAGATGTCTTCAGGGTAAGTCTCATTTTCAATCTCAAAACAACATCCTTGTTTCTATACTTAGATCTATGTGCTTCAATGGTTAGATCTCCACCGAAAAACCGCTGGAAACAGCGCCGGTCCGCCCAGACACGTCGGGCTCCCTTTTGCCGCGCAGATCTACACCTGGAAAAGTGCCATTGCTGGGGGCCAGAGTTTTGGACAAAACCATAGGATGATAGGATGGGGATGATAATCTAGAACCTATACAACATAAAGGTAATCTATACCATGATGATAATCTATAATCGAAAACCTAATGGATCATGGTAATACACACACACATATCACATATCGGTAATCTAAAAATAACTGTTGACAACAGTCGTGATAATATATGTTGTACTTGTTTTTACAAATCACCGCGGGCTCTTAAGCCAGCCATAGAACTTGGACGTATAGTAGTATAAGAAGGATATGAATGGGCATATGACCCATCAAAGGGGGATGCCACCAGCAATAGTCTTATTGGTGGTTGCAACCCATCCAACAAAGGTGTCGAATCAAGCAGGTTTTGTGGGGTGGTAATACTGTAACTTCTCGCGTCGATCAGAATTGATTGCAAGTCAACTTCGCAATGCTTGAAAAAAACAATGGCCTCTTGTTTCCTATATATTTCTTCTTTGCATCAGTCCATGGATGCTTCGTGGATTAAACCAGTTTAATTTTGGACGCAGACCAATCGAAATTAGAAAATGTAATTACTTGAAACCACCAACATTTTTGGATTTGCAGTTGCCTTGCTTATTACATCTTCATCCCAGTCTCAAACTTGCCAATAATATCCATAATAAGGTTCACACAACTTTGTGGAGTTCCCCTCTGGTACATGACGACTCCCAGCAATGTTCTGATTGAGTATTGCTAGGGTTTGTCTGAAAATGGGGTATACCTCCAACTAGCCATCTTCATAGGGAAAATGATGATAAACATTCAAACACCATTTAATTTTGGGGTACCCTATTTTCAGACAAACCCATATAAATGTTGGCTTTCCGATTGGAAAAAACTACGTAGCTGGGATGTCCCATGACGTTGAGAAGACCGGTCCTGAAGACAGATTGGCATTGAAAACGCCTTGCGCAAGAAAACAAACAATGTGAATACTATTCATCAATGCTAAGTAATCTAAGTAATAGTATCAGACATTGGATTCAGAACAAAAACGGATCAATCATGCTTGAATAAAGGGTACCCACGGAGCCACAAATTGGGTGGGATGAAACTGATCATTTCGCGAAATGATTTTTCGCCGCCAGCCATCAGCCCACCTAAGGAAGTCCAAAGGCCCAAGTCGCGGCAGGCTCGGCGCACCTCATCTGGATGAGTCACATATGAAGCCAACATATTGGATGAGTAGGGCCTTTCATTTTCGATTCATGGGCCAAATTTTTCATGGGCCAGGAAAAAGAATGGTTTTTCGGGAACCATGAAATTAAAGGGTTTGACATTTGAACCAAAAGCATCCAAAAGCAACTTCGATATGAACGATCAACCGAAAACTTGGGATGGGCATCGCAGGCAATATGATCCAAGTACCAAAGGGCTTGAATGTGAGAATTTATCCAGGAGCTGCCAGTAGCTGTCGAATATTGTGCACATGTCTTGATGTCGGGCTGGTGGTTGAACCATCAATCCATATCGCCTTGCCCGTGTTGACCATTGCTGACCGGTGAATCATCCTTGGGTACACATCGTCCAATCTTGGCTCTTACCAACCCATGTCAAAAGAGAATCGAAACACAATACACCCTGGTTTAGAGCTAGCATACTATATGTTTATACCATTTTATACCTATATCGGTCCGAATTTCTCCAATTTCGAGTACTCAGTTCCCTACAATTTCCCCGTTATTCTTTTGAGAGTTGCCCAGTAATCAGCAGGAAATCTGATGGTCCCAGGCTCCTTGGGGTCCCAGCACCAGAGACGAAAGCACCCTCCAAGGTTTCGGAATGCTCCCAGCACATGGCTCGACTGGGTTTGCCGTCCTCACTGGATTGGATGACCATTACCTGTCTGGTAAAGTGATGTTAAAGCTTGATCAGTGAAAGATCATCGAACACATGTAACAAATGACTTTCAGTTAGACTTCTGATTTGTCTTATTTCCAAAATTTCAAACTTCACTTTGTCTGGCTTAAAACTGAATTCAAAACAGCAAATTGAGACTTTCATCAAATTGACCCTTCATTGATGGTGAGACCAAGAGGTCGCTACAAGTGCCCCCCATCCCGCAGTGGTGCTATCTGGGTCATGTTGACCTCAAATGGATGAGTTAACTCACACGCGAACTAAATGATCCACGATCATCCATGGTCAATCATTTTCTGGTTGGTGGTTTCAACTCCTCTGAAAAATATGAGTTCGTCAGTTGGGATGATGAAATTCCCAATATATGGAAAGTCATATAGCAGCCATGTTCCAGTCACCACCAACCAGTTTTGGTTGAAGTATCCACTGGGTCACCAAATTGGAATCAATCCGATGCCCCAATCAAGTTGGGACCACCCTGGGCCACTGGAATTCACAAAAAAAGTTCTCTCTGGAGAATGGAGCCGATTTTGTTTTGGACAGTGAAGTTATTTTGAACTGACTTTGAAGTTGGTGAGTTCACTTTGACCTGACCTTGACTTGGAATCTGAGCCAAGTACCTAAATTGGAGCCGATCTGTAATCACTATACTGACAGTAAAAGTTAAGACAGGCTTTCATTGATTTTGAATTGTTGATACATATTTTGAATTTGAGATGAATTGGCTTCAATAATCCGCATTGACCTCAAATTGGATGGATTTTCCTTTGGATTCTTGTAGCAGGGGCCATTGAGGAACTGCATTCACTAGGTTCGAAGAATCCCATTGAAATTTAGGTGTCCGATTCTGTGGGGGGCATATTAAAAACATGTCATATGGTGAACAAATGCGAACAAGCATTTTTTTCCATCTATACTTTGCTTTCTCCGAAAACACTAAAAAGGAGGTTCCAGCATTTTACACCAAAACTGGCCAGAAAAAAAATCACGCCGCTATGGGCGAAATTCACAACACTCAAAAACATAGGCAAAAAGAACTATCCCACACAACAGCTGGCATACTTGAGGGCAGGTACTGGTCAGTGTGAATTTGTGATCCCTGCATCCTGGGAGGTCCCGACACCAAAGGTGGGACATTCACCAAGTACCACGGCCTCTGGGTACCCTGTTGTCAGGTCACTGCAAAAACAGGGCTACTATGGGCTACTAGTCTTCCGATTGCCGACCCTTTGGAGATGTCAATGCCTCCTGCGAGACCTGATGTTCAATAGCTGGGAGATCAGTCTTGTTCCTCGATGTGTGTACTCGTTAACCACGAACTTAACCTCCCAAACCAAGCGTTGCTTCTCCTTGAAGTAGCTCCGATCGCGGTTGGAGTTCTCCGGCATGACCTGTTTTGAAAAAGGGACTGAAAGGTTGGATCTGGGGGGCTATAGCCCCATGTACATAGTGGCATTGAATACAAGATCAATTTGCATATATAATTACCTGTTTGTTGCATGTAACATCATGTAACAACAACAACCGTATACAGGAGCTTTAACTGAGCCGCAGAAAATGAGCATCATCTTAGGTTCCAGGTGCATATACCCAATCTACAGTAACGGCTTCTGGATGTTGTTGAATTGCGAACCAGCACCAATAACAAGGTAGTTGTTCCAGCTTCAGGAGGCATCGAATCCTGGAAAGGAAAGTGCTACTCCTCTCAATGACATCCCACGTTTCCACATTGAAAATCGTTGAAAGGGGCAGTGTGCAAAATTATACCGCTTTGAATACTTCAACCCCAAATGTTGGCTTCCCCTAATCAAGAGACCACCGAATTGCGTGTTGTGGCTGTTCAGGATATTCAGCAAAGTTTCCATGGTATCCCTAAGCTTGAGCTGGGGGCACACCAAACCCATCTGGCCCATGTGGGTCCCCGTTTGGACGTGCAATCAGG